ACATACAACAGAAGGGAAACTTTGCATATTTTGCTAAAAAGAAAACTGAATCTGACATTATAATTCATGGACACTACAGTAGAAATGCATTATAACAGTATCTTTGACCCAAAAATTTCCTCTCAAATTTCACAGATAATGCAGTGGGATAACTATTTAAAAAATTAAAATAGTATAAATGTCTATATAATAAAACAGATAATGAGAAATAAAATTTCAAATATGCACATTTGGTAGTTATTCTTAGTGCAAAACTATACAATCTTGGGAATAAAGGCATCTCTCAAGATCTCATTCAACCATTCAGCTACCCAACACAATAAAAGAGAACTGGATTGAATAGGTATCCAATGAGTATCAGCTGATCAAACCAGACCTAGAGTTAAAGGAGCTTAGTTTTAATTCAGTATCTGACATGGAAACTTGTGTACTTAACATGATACATGTTATACAATCTAAAACATAATCAAACTGAATTTAATTTTGAAGTTCCGTCACTTGAGCTAGGCATGTGTATGTTCTAACATACATGTAAATGTAAATCAATTAGTAATTAAATACAATAAATGAAGACCTGGAATAACTTGACTATGAGGGAATACTTCAAATGTCATGAAAAAGAAAAACTATTTGCTATCAGCCTTGAGAAAAAAAATGCAGGAACTTAGAAAGTCTGTATGAGTAATCATATAAGTGGTGTTTTAATCACTACTGCATCACATGCAGACAGAGTGCTGCAAGAAGGATGCCAGGTTGCTAAAACACTTAGGGGGCCAATCATCCCAGCTGACATTCATCCAGCATAGCAGAGGAAGGCACTACCATGGAGAGGTATTCAGCATAATTAGGGATAATGCCTTCTTTAAGATGGAAATCAGAACCTAGACTAACAGCACCCTTTTAGGTTGAATGCATCTCTCAGAAGAGCGGCTTGTGCATTTCTCATTGCCAGCACAAGTAAAACATTTCCTTTTATCCAGAAACCCACTGGGAGAAATATCCCATTCTCAGGGATATTCTGTTGATGACAGTATTATGGTCACACAATATATCAACTGAAGCACCACAAGACAACATGCCATACAATTTATGTTCCTTGGCATAATTTGTTTCTATATCTTCATTTATTTGAAGACACTGTGACTGGGAAAACTATTAAGGATCTCAAATATGTTTTTATTCTTTGGTGGCCTTCAGAATGAATAGTACTTGTTATCCTTTCGCTTAACATACACAAAAAAGAGAGCTGTTATGATTAAGTCATGGTTAGATATTCTTATAATTACTTGAATGCATTTTAAGCATACAGTCAATGCTTACTTATTGCTCCACAATTCTTAGAGAAAAAAAGCAGGACATTTACTGTTGAGTGAGAGACAAAGGGTTTTAAATTTTGAATAATTTAAATGAATTACAATTTAGTTATATTTATTACATTCACCCCCATTAGTTTAAACATTTTTATCCTTTTCAGTTTTTTCCTATTGAGGTGAATTCTAACGCTTAATAATGTTCCTTCAGAGTCCATACACATCAGAGCTCAAAGGAAAATCATAAACTCAACCCAATAACGAAGTGCATCTACAACTTTCTTACGTTCTGTCAGTGTGACAACAAATTCTAACTCATGAGACATTTTTTGTTTTTCTTCTTTCACAGAATTATAGGTGCAGTATTGAGGTTAATTTTTGTTAAAATGACATATCATTTAGTCAATTAAAAATTGTAAGTTTATTAAAAAGAATTTAAAATAAGCTTAAAATAACACAAGTGAATATTAAATCTGCTTTATCAGCCCTGGTTTGGTGTATAGAATCTGTTGGTAATCAAATACTACACTTGATTTTAGCCAAACAGCCAAGAGGTAATAGTAATCAAATACTAAAAAAATAAAAATAAAAAAAGTTTAAAAAACCTGGATGGCTGGTCTGGGTTACTTTTGTGGCTTAGCTACAAATTCTATTTTGAAAGTATAATTTCAGCATTTATTTTCACTGATGAATTACATTCTACTCAAGAGTTAAGTTTCTTACAATAAATATTAACATAATGTAGAAAGATTTTATAATTTTCCAACTGACTAGGAATCCTTGACAACCAAATGTTGAATTTAAATTGTAGACTAACTCATTAGAAAATATGCAATAGCTCTGTCAAGATTTACAACAAATACACTGGAAGTGTTTAAAAAATTAATATTAAGCTGCTATGCTTGGCTTAATTAGCTTTCTTCTTCATTTACAAAGCATATCTGTCTGGTTTTATGAACTTGGTCTCCAGTCCCCTTTCCTACAAACCTGTTTAATTAAAGTTTAACAGCTGTGTATGCTTTGGAAACACAGAACGGTTTTCTCCCTTGAAATACTTAATCCTTTCTTAAAATATGATCCTTCTGAATATATATTTAAAAGGCGTTTTTACACCCTTCTGACAATGAATTCTCTAACTTGGCTTCAACTGCCCTATTGCGCTGTTTGTGGTACAGTCTCATGTGATGTGTGCTGAGTATGCACACTGCACTGATGCAAGACCAAAATCAACTGCTTTTCAAAAGAATTCTAAAATTTTTTGAAAGAGTGAATTACTGCTTAAAATGTTTTCATCCTGGTGGGAGAGATTTACATGCCCAATTTGTTGACACCAGGCTTAGCCATGTTCCTTGATTTAAGTAATGGCATGTGAATGGAAATAATGTGTGACTCTGAAGAAGTCTGGAGATCCATCCTATGGTTCTGAAATGTCTTTTTTTTTTCTCCATCTCCTCTGAGACTACTCACCCTGTCAGCCTGAGACTCTGAAGGAAGGAAATGTGGAACAGAGCCTCCTGCAACCAACAGTGAACACATACTAGGGCGAGAAAACAAGTCTCTATTAACTGTACAACACTGAGAGTGGTTTGCTTTCACAGGAAAAGTTAGCCCAAACTGACTGACACCAGGCTCATTTAAGCCTTTTCAATAATAAAGGAGCACATCCTCATCCCCTTTGCTATGCAGGGACAATCCCTGCAGCATTTATGCTGCTGGAGAGAGAAAGGGAAACAGATGGCTGAGACTCCTGTGCTTTACCATTTGCCTTCCTTAACCTTCAGCAACATGAAAAGCTAATGTTGAGCAAATTAGAGAGTTTACATTTTTAAAGATAAGGAGTTGGGATTGATACTAATTGGACTAAGTTGAAATATTTCCAAAATAAATAGAATCATTTCACAAAGTGATATTCAGGATTAAAGTTTATAAATATTGCACAGAGCTTTCGGTAGTCATTAAGTCTGACAAATGCAGTACTTATCGAGCACACCCCAATCTGCTAGATTTCTTAAGGCAAGGTCGTGTTAGAGGCTGGGCTCCAAAAATGAGTTGTGTTCCTAGCCTCAGGAGGTCACAGGTAGAAAGATGTATGTACATTTGTCTCTAATATAGTTAGATGCACTTGACGCTTGTGGGAACCAATAAAATAGCATGGAAACAAAACAGACAACAATAATTTCTGTCAGGAGAAGATACAGAATCTTGACAGATGTGTAGGGAATGGAGGACCATCTCCCCACTGGGCAAGCATGGCATATGTAGAGAAACGTGAAAGCATTTCTGACATGTTGGACAGTAGGGCTCTAGTACATGAATGTACGTGCACACATGGGTTTAAGGGGAGATGAACAGGAGGAAAAGGTGAAAGTTAAAAATTGTCTACTGTGAATGGTATGTTATATACACAAAGTGTACAATGGGAGCACCAAAGGGATCTAATCCTAAGTGCAGGTTTTATAAAGCAATTCCTGAATTGAGACTTCGTTTACATACATGTTTCTTTTACAGATATGTGTGCATACTACACACACACACAAACACACACGTTTCTCCATATGTATATATACACAAATGCCACTTTATGCTCACATAAACGAAAGAGATGAGTTAATGTTTGAAGTATTCCTCAACATAAAAAGCTATACAGAGAAAAATCTCCCTCACACTGCCAGCCCTCTACTCTCCTCTAGAGGCAAAATTTACTTGTTTATTACAGTGGTATATACTTATTAGTTTAAATTGCAAAGAGAGAGAGAGGGAACTCATAGAAAAATGACTGGGTAGAAGAGAAAGATGGCCAAGACTTGACGTTATATTGACTAATTCTAGAGATGGTCTGCAAATATTCACGATGCATGTGCTTCTGTGTATACATGAATTTGTTTGTTCTTCTTAATTGTTCCAAAATATTCAATTTTATGTATGTGTCATAATGTCCTTAACTATACTGGCACACCTTTAGAAGGTTTTCAGGGTATTAGTTAGGTTTTCAATCTTTTGCTATTATAAACAATGCTGTAATTAACTCCATTATATGTGATTCTTTGTACTTGTGTGCAAATATATTTAAGATACATTCATGGGAATAGAATTGCTGGGTAGGATTGTTCAGACAAAAACAAAACAGAAAGAACAAGACAAAGGGAAGGTTGTGGCTTGCAAATGCAATGATATGAGCATTTTCTTCCTATTTCATAATATCTATTATACCAAATGGGAAGAAGAACTAGAGAGGAGGCAGGGGGAAAGGAAGGAAGGGAAAAGAAAAAAAGAGAAAAGAAAGGAAAAAATAAAAACAAAGATTTTGTAAATAAGGAGGGGAAGTGGAGTTGAAGGGAGGGTAGGGGAATGAAAAAAAAGAGGAATTAAGATATATCATATACAAGTACAAATTACCTATGATGAATGTGATCATCCTGTATATCAAAAATGGACCAACAAACTTAATTAATTAAAAAGCAATGCTATGTGAAGACTGCAAGAAACTACAGACTATGAGAATCCCAGGAACACAGTGGAAAGATACTCAGAGGCCAGATCACAAAGGACTCTATTTTCTGTGCTCCAGGATGTGGGAGGCATAATGAGATTCAGATTAAAAAAAATATTCCTGTAGAAGTGTGAAGGATGCATTCGTGAGGGTAAGAAAGAGAAATCAGTTATGATGCAATCACAGTAACCCATGGAGGAATTGAAGGGCTGGTAACCTGGTTACCAAGAGAAAGTTCTCTTCTAACTTCGCTCTTGCATTTTCTCCTGTTGGGAGCTCTCCAAGCTAGTGTCTAAGATGCTCCATGAAAAGGACCTGCCACAGAGAATGACCCTGCTGTGAAATCTACCCCTCTAGCCTGGAATGAAGGAACATTCTTTCCAGTGCTCCTCCCACAAAAATGTGTGTACCAGCTGCTGCCGTGTTTCTATGAAATAAGTAACAGAAATCTTAAGAGCTGACAGACTTTTTTTAAGTCACTTGGAGCAAGGGTCCTCAAATACATTGTCAGCTGCTTTCTATTTTTCAAAGCTTTGAGGAGCCAAAGACAAGCAGGGATTAGAAAAAAAGTGGGAGTAAACTGCTAAAAAAAAAATTAGGCTGCAAGTGGTGGTCAGGGTCTGGCACTTCCTATTAAGTACCAAGGGGAGTGAGAGGACCTGCTGCTGCCCTATGTTTTCCTTCCAGACATCCCAAACAAAACACCAGCACTGAGAGTTTGAACTTAAGCAGTCAGGCAGTGGAGGCCAACTTGAAGGAGTCTGATATCTGTGTCCTGCTCTGCCCTCTGAAAAGGCAGCAGTCTCATATCGGGTTAGACCAAGGCTTAACAGGTCGGACCACTTGGCTTAACTGACACAGTTAGTGAAGGCCCAACACCAGAACAAATTTCCAAATCTCAGTGTCCCTAGAAACATAGAGGGCCAGTTAAAACACAGATTGCTGGGCTCCCTCCCCAGTTTCTGATTCAGGGTGAAAAAACCAAGAATCCAGAATTTTGCATTTCTGTACTGGGGATGTAGCCTAGCAAGTGCAAAGCCCCAAGTTCAATCGCAGAAACTGAAAAAAGAAGACAGAGGGAGAGAGAGAGAGAGAAAGAGGCCACCAGGTGATGTGGATGCTTCAGCCTGGAGATCACAATTGAGAAACAATCTGCATCTCGACACCACTACCCTCCATGAGGCGATCAGGTAGCCTAGAGAATTATGTAGACATGCATACGGTCTTCTACCATGGAGTATTTCTGGATTACCTTTTAAATATTGAGAAAACCATGTTATAAAGTTTATAGGAAACCTCATTTTTATATATTTGTAAAATCCAATAGAGTAGCAGTAACTTACTAATAATTATAAAATCAATAGTTAAAGGGCTGTAAAACAATTATGCCAAGTATTTCAAATTCTAATGTCTACTTCACAGTCTGAAACTAATAAAAGTAAGATTAAGTGACTTTAAAATGCTTCAGAAACCTTACTTCGTTAAATAATCTGAGTATTTATAAAATTAAAAGGTAAATCACAAACTGCAAATAACATACTTAATGAATTAGAACTGAAAGGAAAATATTAGATATTTTAAAATTCTGAAATGGTTCTTAGAGAAGGAAATAAAATGCTAATAAATATATAAAATATCCATTCTTACTAAAAGTGAAAATAAATTCAAATTAAAACATCAATAAGAAATGTTTTCAACTTTCGTATTAGCAAAGATTAAAATGAATTTAATAGTTATTGCTGACTTAATATGAAGAATTTTTGTACATTGTTAGGGAAAGTTTCATTTTCCTATCTTTCTTGATTTCCTTATACTTTGTTGCTAAGAGTGCTGCAAGTTTTAATAATAAAAAACACTACTTTTTGAGTAGTCATATGAGTGTACTTGTGCTCTGAAATATAAAGTTAGGAGTCATTTCAATTTTCATCACACAATAAGCATTCTCTTGATTTTAATGATAGTTGTATTAAATTTAGAATTCAGGCTTAATTTACATAATCCCCCAAAGACATCCCCAGAAATCGATTAAAGGTCACCTTACTTTCTCGTACATATACCAAAATCTAATCTGTTCATTCGTTTCCTCTTCTATTATCATATTCCATGCTTTTGTAAAGCTTACTGCTTATTATACTTTCATTTCAAATAGAAAATCTTTCAGGTTTGCCTTTCCATCCTACTAAACTCCTTCCCAGTATGTATTACTTGCTCCTCTTCATGTTAGAGTAAAAGATTAAATAGGCATTTACTTTTTGATGTACGTAAAATTGAAATCCAGACTCCAGAAATGTTCTTTAGAAGTGTCAATACACCTAGAGGTGAAGCAGTGTGGGACTCGGTGTTCACCACTGCCTGTTCGAGGCTGCATATTAAAATCAGGTCTCACATAATGGGCAGGATGCAGAATTTATTTGTGCAATAACAAGGTAGAAAATCTTCTTGGTCCCTAGGTGCCCGATTCAAGACCTTGAAGTTAATGACATTCCATTCACCATAGGAAAAACATACAAGTTTCATCATATAATTTACTCTTCTGAAAGAAAATATCAACTGTCAACAGCCTAATAATTTAAAAATTAATCAATTTCACTTTAATTCTCATTCGATTCACAACTACCAGGATGAGCATGTTCAAAATCTGAATAATTCTACTAGTGAGACCTATCTAGACTCACACAGCATCACTTTGCATAAAAACTAGAGATATTTTTTAAATGAATGTTACACAATATTTCTGAAAACAAACATTTTGTAATTTTACAAAACAGCAAATATAAACTTTACTTTGAAAATCAACATTTAGAATACAGGGCTAATTACTGCTTATGACTAAGACTACTATATACCTATGTATTTCTCCCAATAAGTTCAATAATATTTGAAGCTTTATCATAATAACAAATGAGTCCAGGAACTAAATTATTTATTTAAACAATACCTATATATTCCCCAGCTTATTAGCTGCTTCTCTGCACTTTTTTTTTTTTGGTCTAGCAAAGTAGACTGTACTAATGTAACAGCCAAAAAAAAGCACTGAGTTATAATGTCAGGCTTTGATGATCAGCTGTAAATAATGTAGGATAGTATTCTAAAACTATTTTCTCAACTGCAGGCCTATTTCTTTTGTATTAAGAAGAAACTAACTGGACAATGAAATTTATTATTCTTTTTTATGAGCATGTGGCTACTCCCCAATTCAGGTGCTCTGCTGTGTTCTTTCAGGACAAATATCTTCTAGGTCTAGGTATGCCAGGTGTCTTCTAGCAATTCAGCAAAGATCTCATTACAAGTAGCAGCTCAGTATTTTCTCTCTGACTGCCCTCTGCCTCAACCAACATATTAACTAATGAATCCATGATGGCTGAGCTTTTTCTCTTATATTTAAACCATTGCACAAGTTTAAAAATAATGGTTCTATTTCCTATTGATTTCCAAGTTAAAGAAATAAAATAAGTAACACAAGCCAAAGGTCAACAAACTACAGCACACAGAGCAGATATGGTTCAACACTTGATTTTTGTAAATAAAGTTTTATTGGAAATTCATTTTATACATCTGTCTTTCATGTTATCAGAGTATTAGAGTTCAGGAGATTTTTCAGAGGCAGTATGGTCCATAAAGCCAAAACTATTTACTACTGGCCTTTTCCCAAAAAAAAGTATGCTGACCCCAGCTGCAGAAAGGAGAAGAAACCCAAATCAGAGGAACAGTAAATGCAACTCCTGCCAACAGGTAATAATGTGTAGGAGGAAGAATAGTAAGGTTGAAGCTATATGGTAGACTACATGTGAGTATTTTCATGGAAAGTTTTAATAGTGCTTTTATCCCATTTTATATTTTTGCTTTTGTTGCATATGCTTTTGATGTCATATTCATAAAAATCACTGCCAAGATCAATCAAATAAAACTTTTCCACTTTATTTTCTATGAGTTTTGCAAGTTCAGGCTTTACTTTTAATTCTAATCCATTTTTATTTGATCTGAGTGCATGATATGAGATAAAGTTTCAATTTCAAGGCTGGAGATATAGCTCTGTGGTAGAGTGCCTGCCTAGTGTGCACACACACACACACACACACACACACACAAAGATTGAATTTCAATCTTTCACATGTAGAAATCCAGTTTTCTCAATATCATTTGTTGACAAAGCCTATTGTTTCTCCATTATGTATTCCCAACACCCTTGTCAAAGATCAGTTGACTATACATACATTGGTTTACTTCCAGGTTCTCTATTGTGTTCCATTGGTCTACATGACCATCTTTAAGACAATACCATACTACTTTAATTACTGGAGTATTCCAATGTATTATGAAATTAGGAAATATGATGATTTCAGTTTTATTCTTATTTCTCAACATTGCTTTGGCTATTCGAGGTATAATTCAAGTCTGTGGCAATGCAAAATGGTGCTAGTACTATGAAAAACAGCATGGAGGTTCCTAATATATTTTTTTAAATGACTACAGTAGCCCCTCCCAATCCATAGGGAACACATTCAAAGGCCCCAGGAGATATCTGAAACCATAGACAGTAATGAACCTTAAAAGTACCATGCTTTTTCATATATATACATATTTATTATAAGTTTAATTTATAAATTAGACACAGTAGGTATTAGTAATAAATAATAATAAATTACAACAGCATTCTGTAATAAAAGGTATATAAATATAGCATCTTTCTTCCTTTCTCTTTTTTGCTTCTCTCTAAAAATACTGTGTTTTTACTTAAAGTAAGTACCTTATGGTTTCTCTTTGCCATATCACAATTACTAGCAACATTACTCCTGCACTTTCTGACTTCTTTGTAAGTCAAATAAGGGTTACATGAATACAAGCGTTGTGATACTGAAATAATTACTTTGCTCATTTTAATATTCTTCACAATGCCCAAGATGCAAAATGAACATAAATACCCATCAACAGAAGAATAAGAAAAGAAATGTGATATATACTTACATTGGAATGCTATTTTTAGCCTTTAAGAAAAGAGTCTGCAATTATGCAACAATATGGATAACCTTGAGGGTATTATAGCAAACAAATTAAGCCAGTTATAGAAGGAGAAATATTACACTATTCCACTTATATGAGCTATATGAGATAGTCAAACTCTTAGGAACAAGAAATAGAATGGCAGTACCGGTTGCTGGGGCAAGGAGAAAATGGAGAGTTGCTGATCAACGGGTAAAAAAAAAATTGAGATATGCAAGATGAAAAAGTTCCAAAGATCTGCTATATAACTATAGTCAACAATACTGTATTGTATACTTAACCTGTTAAGAGGGTAGATCTCACATAAACTATATACACCACAATAAAATTTAAAACATTAATTTCATTTTTTTAAAAATGCTTTTGTCGGTCCGGGGATTTAGCTCAGTGGTTTTGCTGCCTGCTGCACAAGTGCAAGGACCTGAGTTTGATCCCTGGTATAAAAAAAAAAAAAATGTTTTTGTTTATTCCAGTTGTAAGATTCATAAAATGTGGAGCCATGTATTAGCCTAGCAGCACAATAAAATTATTTTCGTTGTGACAACAAAATATTTGATAATCTAAAATGGCAAAAGATTCTGTTAAGCTCTGGAGAAGTCAAATGGAAATTTAATTAATAATAATAAAATAAAGTCAAAACTTCAATAATGTGTTACATTTAAGTTGGCATTGATGCATTTTTTTCTCCTAAATCTCTTTTGTGCTTTAAAATAACACTAAAAATAGAGAGAGAAAAGAAAGTCAAACTAATAGAGGTCAATAGCAACCAAACAAGTTCACACACCTAATATAGGACAGAGCTAGAAGTAAACTTGAAATCATCTCACTCCAAGTATAGCACTCTATCTACTATGTCACGCAATCTCTCATTCTCCTTTAAATGATAAAAACATGTTTTTACAAAAATATTAATAAAATTTTCAAACATTCATAGTTAATTAAATCAATACATTGACCATATCTGCTCACTACAATAAAAATTTCCTCCAAACATTTTAAAAGAGAGGCAGTGGTCAATGTTAAATTTAAGCAAGGTTAACTGAAAATGCACAAAAAAATAGAAGCACTATCTGTTCTTTTATTATTAAGTAATTATTCAGGCTGAAAAATTCACCGTAAGTTCTGTTTTTTAAAAAAGTATTTTAAAAGACAATCTTTTGAGCTTACTGTGATAATTATACTTATATATCTTTTCAAAATATGTGACAGACTTACATTACTGCAGGCAGAAAAAAAAAGCAAAATCAATATTTAGTCCAAAAGACTGTACAAAAGTTAGTGTCTATTTTAAGATTTCTATTTTACTTGGCATTTACAACTCCTAAAAGATATACTAGTAAGAAACGTAGTTGAGCCAGCAGTAAAGAAAGCCACTCCAATATTACCCTGGTCAGCTCCAGGTACAATGTGCTTTTGCCTAGGAAACTTCAGGCTCCAAAGAAGCCCTGCACATCATCTTTCTATATCTAGGGGAGGAGTGAGGCTCACAACAGAACTGAAGAGTCAATTCCCCAGGCCAGGCCAAGAGATGAAAAACAGCTTGGTGAAAAGCATCAAAGGTCAGGCACTGATAACTACCTTCTCCAATGAGACTTCTTGCTGAGGATGTGGCTGAGGATCAAGCCAGGTCATGTTATCTTGCCTGGCTCCCTGTCGGAGAGATTTTGCTTATTAAGCTAAGTCACTGCACTTCCTACCGGAAGCACCTCTATTATTTCACTCATGGAGTGCCTAGGGGGGACATAATGGTTTGAATATTCCCCTTTTGATATTGTGAGTTTAATGAGAATACTAAATATCAAGGACATTATTCAATATTCATTTTCATCTTTCCTTAATTTTCTGTGAATGTTTTGTCTAGGTTATGTATCACTGCTATTCTGTAACACATCCATAGTATCTTTGTGTATGTTATTCACAGGACTATTTAGGACTTAATAAATAATTGCAGAGTTTGTTATGTTTTTAAATACCTACCTCATATGGGAATATACAAATATAGTACTGTTAACATAGTATAACATACACATAGGGAAACTTAAGTCCCTATGTATCTATGTAAAGATGTATCTCAAGTATATTTGTGAAATATTCAAGGAAAAAGCTACTGTAAAATACTTTTCTAATCCTTTCAATCTCCTGCTGAGACACAGAATAGAAGAATATACATCAGATATGTCTTGGGTATAATTAAGGACAAAAGAAAAGCAGAACTTTTCTTTTTATATCATATGCTCTGTTATTGTTTGAATTTTTCATAATAAGTATGTGTTTCTTTTGCAGTTAAGAAGGAGGTTGTATGTCTTTCCTTACCTTTAACTTTCACAGAAAGTTGTCACCAATATAGCCCAGCTCCTCAGGTTGACCAGCTGTTCCCCCTAAACTCCAGGGAATTTTAGTGCACTACCAAAGTAGCAGTTCTCTTGCTATACTATATCACTTCTGCTTCCTTTGTTGTCTTAGCATCAGACTACAAACTTCACTGTGCAAGGCTTTTATCATTTATAACTGTAGAGCTTGGCACAGTGTCTAGCAAAAAGTAAATACTGAAGGCACTGTGTGAATAACTATCAAATCACAGCAACTACTAGTACTATCTGATACTTTCTAAACACCTGCAATGCACCAAGCCCTGTGCTAATCAAATTATACCCACTATTGCATGTAATTCTCAAGGAAGCCCTTTGCAGTGTGTAATAGTGTTACAATATTCAGTGTACAGATGAGGAAAATAAGGCTTTCAAAATTAAGCACTTTGGCAATGTGACACCTTAAATGAAAAGATAGGATTTGAATTAAATACATCCCTGAATCAAGGTAATTTTAATTAATAGTTTGTGTTCATGGCCTCTACTCTATATTGAAGGAATAAATGAATGACCATTCAAGAATGAATAAAAATATGGAAGATTTTCTATTTAAAAAAGAACTCTGCTCAAGGGACAAGAGAACTATGAAACAGAAAATGAAACTAGAGAACCCACTGGCAGGGAAGAACACCACCACAGTAACAGGTGTCACTATTCATGGAAAAAGAAATTCAACCTAAATGGTCTACTGATGTTGCACAAATGTCATACCCTCTTAAGTCACAGTGTACACATTATGTTTGATACAGTATATCCAGAAACCTACCTACGCTGTGAAACTGAATACAGAAATAATTTTGACTTAAAAAGTTAACATTTGTATGTAACAATATTAATCTTTATAGAAAATCAAGATCAACACTCCTATATATGAACTCAATAGCTCTGTCTGGTAGAAATAAATGTCAATTGTTAAAACATACAGTTTTTATTAGGAAGTCCATATTTTATTAACAGATACAGCCACAGTATGCTGAATAATTACATACAGTTATATAAAATAAATATTTCCATAAAGGCTTGGATTGCCATTCAGTCTGTAAAAATAATTCTTTAGCAAGAAAGCAAGAATAAGCAGGCTATATTAGTAATTTCTAATGGTGACTTCAGAAGAAAAACTGATGATTTTTTCAGGAATGCCTCTTATTTATTGGTTAAAAAAAAATGCCCTGCAGAGACCCCCAGACACTACATTTCAATGTGGAAAACTTTATCTATTAAGTAGTAGCACTGGTCAGAACTTTAGTAATAAACAAGGATGAGCAAGACCATTTTGATCAGGAATAATGCATGGTTCACAATAAACCAAACTAAAAGACCTCACAGATTTTAGAAAACCTTCTACCTAAATTACTAACAACTAGGGATTGGTGAATGAAAACCCTCTCTTCTCAGAAGAAACCTTTAGTCTTCAAGTTCCAAAATATTTTATTCACCAATCTATATCAAAGTCCTAGACATATGTCCTTCCTTTCAGAACAAAAAACATGGCTGATTTCCAGTCTACCAAAAGTGCCATAAATCAAGACATGGAGGAGAGTCATAGCACACATTAGGCTTGTATTACTCAGAACCACTATACCAAGAACAAAAAAGAGAAGTCATTAAACGCATAATTTGTAGTTTTACAGGGGAAAAACTGAATTTAGCTCTGTTTTGTTTCCGATAAAGTTTCATCATTTGCTGGAACATAATATGATTCAAATATATGTGATCGGCTAATATTGATTTTCGTATCTTCAATACTCCATTTAAAATCAACAGACTTTAAAATGTTTAATTTCTTGTGATTCAATAGATTTTTTTCTTTCTAATACCAGAAAATTGTTTTTTATAAATTAAGGTGTTTTGACATTTTACAATATAATCTTTAGACTTGAAGAGAATGATCATTTAAATTTTCTGCATCTGGAGAAGACTCGCGACTCCCTGCCTCCGCCTGCTCTGAGGTAACTGGAAAAGATAAAGAAAGCTGCGCGCCATGCTTTCCCACATGAAAAGGACTGCTCTGTGGCAGGACAACTCCATGCCTAAATCCTGCTTGAGGCCAAGAAGTTATTCTGGTTCCTGGAAATATTACCCACAGTTCTTCTGAATGAGGATGCCCACAAGCTAACCAAAATCAAGCTAAATGAAGTGAATTATAAAGTAGATTCCATTGAACTGGTAAGGTGACCATTTGTTGCAGTGTGTCCTGGCAGTCTTGGTTTATGTTGATTACCCCAATGTAATTTTAACATTATCCTCTTTCATTCTCCCAATGTGTGTGAGTTTAGGAGATAAATAATATGGTCGCCTTCTTCTCTGAAAACTAAAAGACTTTATTAACTTGGAGGCCCAGATTCCAAAAGCCTGACCAGGGAGTTTTACCAAATAACAGGAGTAATGATGCTGAGTTGGGTAGAGAAGATCTGTGAACAGAAATACAACTGTCCCAGTAAGTAATACTGTTGCTTTAGAAATTTCAGTTGTGGTTCATTCGTATTGATGTGCTATGTTTAGTGCTTAATATTCATTTTAGGCCTTTCTAAAACAGTGCTTCTCCATGAGTCATAACAAATTAATAAGAAAAAGCAAATAACTATGAAAAATATTTTGGTGGAACTAATGAGTGTGTCTGAATATGACTTTCATTAGCTTTTTATTGTTAGTATTATAGATAATCATACTCATTTGGGTCAAAACATTAAAAATAACTACATGCATGGTGAAGAGATTCAAGAAAGCAAGCAACTGCCATAAGATTTTAATCAAAATTAATATCAAAAGTCCAGATACCCAACAGTCTTAGGACTATCTGGCTGAATTCTCTGAACAAATACTTCACCTCTACTTCTTATCTTGTTGGTATAACCATAATGAGTGTGACTGTAAATAATGTGACTACTTTTATCTGAGTCACTGAAAATAAATCAAAATAGTCATCATACATGTCATAAACAAGGGTATTTAACTACTTTTACAAGAAGCTAGACATTATTTTCTCAAGAGAAAAATTCTCATATCAGTTATAGAAGTCAGACTGCAGACAGAGTGATCCCTTAAGAACGCTAATCAGGCCATACTGCCTCATTGCTGGAAGCCTCCCCAGGCTGGCCATCTGTCAAACACAAATCCAAAGTTCTTAGTACGACCACAAAACTGCAGATCTCTCAGAACTAATCTCTTCCTTCAATTTCCTTCCTTCACATGTTGGCTTCTTCCAATTCATTGAACTTACCTAATATGTACCCATGTCAGATTTGTCTTTGTTATTTCCTTGGCCAGCGCTGTCCTTAGCCTAGAAACTAGTGTGGTTCTCTCCCTCCATTCCTTAACTTCAAGGTCTTTCAAATATTTTCTCATTACAGAGGTTTGCATGTGACCACATCACCTAAAACCCACCCCATTTCAGACCCTACTCCTTTATTTTTTTTCATAGCACCTCTCACTCATAATATTGCATTATATGTTATTTATAGTCTGCTTCCAACAAGTAAATGGAAGCAGCATGAGGACAGGAAACTTGTTCAGTTTTGTTCACTATGTCTCTCTGGTGTCAAGTCCTGTGCTCATTAAATGAACGGCACTAAAGTTTACACTGTGGGTAAATTGATATGAAATACAACCTAACCATCTAAAGCTGACTTTGAAATTTGTGCTGAAGTGTTTTAACTTCTGAATCTGAAGTCTACAACTTCTCCATTGCATATGACCTTTAAATCAATTTCCTCAGAGAAGGGTATTTAATCTAGTGGTGCTGAATGTAAATATATAAAAACGTTCTGAGAGGGAAATTTGGCGCTATCAAATAGAACTGAAAATAACAACAACCATCCACCACAAAAACATAGTTGGCCTAATATTTCCACTTCTAGCTATATTCTACAAAAATAATAAGTGTGTAAGGATTTATATGTAAAGGGTGCTCATTATAGCATTTTGAATTCAATAAGGGTGTTTTATTTCTGTAATTAAAATTGTTTTTTACCTTCCTTAGTGAGTAATATTAAAGCAACTACTAAGGAGAACAGATTACAATTTTATTGAACTGAGGTTTCGAGAGGTAATGCTGAGCAAAGTGACTGCTAATTACAATGCCCTGTCCCGCGATGTCTCACAGCATCTGTCATATCTACAAGCCCGGTACAATAGGTTCCTTACAACTACAAGGCATGCACCAAGTGACTGGTCTACCAGGCAATAACTGATTGGATCAAAAAAGGCACCTATCCCAGAGGCAGCTCATCAATTGGTTGAGAGCAGTTTATCAGGCGGGCAGATCTTAGGAGCATTTATTTAAGGGGTGCATGGAGATTTTTTCCACGAATTTAAACAGAAGGAACACCCCAGGAAGTAAGCAGTTGCCAATGGGGCAAAAGCCAACAGAAATATAGACCAGACAAGCAAAATCAAGGTGCCAGTACATGGAGGGCCAAGTGACAGAAAGCAGAAGTGCTAATGTTCCCTTGTTACTGATCTTCAGTGAGGCTTGTGATCCTTCGCTCCTCACTGTCCTTGCTTCCTCAGGTGTACGTAAAATAAGTGCTCTTAAAACTGTATTTCAGTACATATCTGTTTTTCACAACCTGAAATTTAAATAACAGTACTGTACATTAAACAGAAGATTGAATTGAGCCTTAAGAGGGCTAACCTCTGAAAAGATTGCGGTTCTTCTCTACCTTCTAATTATGCGTAATTCAAATTAAAAATGCTACTGATACTTAGAATAAATGTAACTAGTCCTCAAAGTAAGAGTTTTTCTCTCTGATCATTTCATGAAATATCAATTATTTCCAATGAAAGAATAATTCACATTTGTGCTTAGTTTGACTACTATAATATCTAAAGGAATATCTAAAGAGAGTTAATGATAGAAAACACATCACAGACTAAACCACCTTGCATGTCCTGAGCCAGGGCACTATTAGACTAATGACTTTGGGATGTAGATAGAAAGCATATTTCAATGATTGTTTTTAAATACATTCTGCCATTTAAAATATATATCACAGTCAAGGATCTAGTTCAGTGGTTCCGCTGTCTGCCTTGCAAGCGCAAGGACCTGAATTTGATCCCCGGTACCAAAAAATAAAATAAAATAAAATAAAATAAAATAAATATCACAGAGAGAAGAGGTACATCAGTAAATGATATTTTGTTACTTTATTATCACTGGACACTTTTTAACACGGTTACAAATCATTTTATGAATATATTCAATTATTTAAAGCCTAGGATACTTAGGTGCCAAAATTTCAAGGAGAATAAATTTCACATTTTCTTTAAAAATCACGAAACACTTAAGAAAAGATCATTTTCTAATTAATTATCAAATAAGTTTAGATACCACAGCAGAGGAAAATCTTGATCCTATGCACTCCCATTCCTCATGTTATCCGTTGCTCCATGGTTGGGGTACAGTGAAAGGGGACGAATAGGGCCGGGCCACAGGCCCCAAGTGTCACTGCAGGTTTTGCATGTGTTGGCTGCAGCAGTGGAGACAGAGGACACTGACCTAGACCCATTACCTCACGGACTCCCTTTCCTCCCACGCCCAAACCGGTGCCATTAACCTTGCCCTGACTCTCACTCTTGCTTTGCTCTGGGAATCCAATATTAGCATTCGCTGAGGAAAGCAACAGCCCCAGCTTGCTCTCTGCAAAGTCTACTGCAGGATTTCTGATTGCACAGAGCTTTTTGTGTCTCCCCAAGCTTTGCAATCATCACACTGTTCAGCCAGTGACCAATAATGATAAACCTGAATTAGAAGCTGTGTTCTCTTTGGATTATAACCTAAAACGGATCCCTTGACATCCCTAATTCTGTTAGATTACTTTAAATAGATGACATTTTTGCTTGCTTTGTTGACCAATTCTTTTGGATTTATTTTTAAAAATAGCTTTATCAAGATATAATTCATTTAAGACACAATTTATCAGTTTAAAATATAAAACTGAACATTTTTAGCATATTAACAGAATTGTACTGCCATTGTTACAGTCTAAGTTTAGGACATTTTCATATCCCTCAAAACCAAAAGAAAACAACTCTGTAACCCTTAGCAGTGCTGCCCACCACCCCCCTCCCATGCTTCTGGGAATCACTTACCTATGTCTGTTTCTATGAATTTGCCTATTCTGGATATTTCATACGAATGGAATCATGTATGTGGCTATTTAGTACTGACTTGTCTCATCTACCATAATGGTTTCTAGGGTTGCTGATTCATTGTTTAATATTATTGACATCATATCCACACACAGTCTTTTGTTTGGTTTTTTTTTGGTACCCGGGATCAAACTCAGGACCTTGTGCTTGCGAAGTGGGTGGCGACACACACTGTTTTTTAAACACTAAAAATATTCAAATATTTACAGATGGACATTTAAATTATACCTCAGTACAATTTTTAAAAGAACCCCAAACAAATGTTCATGAATATAACCCAAAGGCCAATACAATACTTCCATTAATATCATATAGGTTACAAGTAAGTCTTCAATTTTGATTTAAAAGTTTCTACCTACTGATCTTTACCTTAGCAAGTTTTCAAATTGTTTGGTCTCAGCACTCCTTTACATATTTAAAAATAGGATTTAAATCATATTTTTTTATATGGATCCTACTATTACTATTTATAGTATTTGAAATTTTTAAACTTTTAAAAACATTTTATTGATTTAATTTAAAAGAAAATAATAAAACCATATGATATGAAATATATATTTAACAAAAATATAGTTGTTTCCTTAAAAAAGAAAAAATACTGGGAAGAAACATTTTTATGTTTTTAAAAATCTTTTTAGTGTCTGGCTTAGTAGAAGACAGCTAGTTTTCATATCTGATTCTCATTTGATGTACTTAAAGATCACACATCTGGAAAATTCCACTGTAAACTCACAAAAGCAAGGATGGGAAGGACAAAAAAATTCTTAGTATTATTAGGAAAAGAGTTTTGGTAAATGTACATATCATATTTTGATCCCCTCCCCAACCTGAAAGCCAACTCTATGTGCAAATATAAAAAGGAAAAAGGTTTGATCTTATAGGCCCCCAGAAATGCTTCTGGGGATCCCCACACATTCTCAGGCCATGCTTTGAGAACCCTGGTCTAGATTTTCCTCTAAAGCTGACTGAGGTTCACTGCAGTGAGACTCCTTAATATGCACTAAAATCTATGTAAATATTTTAGGTGAAACTTTTTAGGAAAATAGGATCAGAACACTCTTGAATATAATTTTCAAAGCCTTTTGGCTATACATTGTATATACTTAACAATAACTTATTTAAAGTAAGTAATCAAAATGAGATATAAGATGTCATATAACTAATTACTCTATTTCACATATTCTTAATTTATCAACAAGAATAATAAATGTGTTGTTTAAACACCTATTATACTGTTAATACCTACATCCTCTATTGCTGTCTATGATTCAGAAGTTTAGATTTCACATGCTTTCAAGTTTTCTTCTCTCTATGATTATAAAAGATTCCTCTTAGCTTCTATTTGCTGCTAAAGTAATAAAATGTTCTTGAGTTTTTCTAAAATGGACATTGCTGCCATAATCTTGAAATAACTGTGGTACATTTAATATTTGAGAATCAGTGATTCAATGATCACCGAGGTGGTTAATTTTTGTGTAATGAGTATTTTTCCTATGACTCACAATTTCAGAATGATAATATGGTCAGTAAGCTTCTGTATGCCTTACATCTCAGAATGCTGAATGATGCTCACAAAAGCAGCACCAGCCCATGGTGAAACTCTCAAAGCTCTGGCCCTTCTTGAATTGAGAAGCATTTTCCAAATAATGAGATTTATAAATAAATTAAATATCTGCATATTTTGTACCTGAATTCAACAACAGTACCTACCTTATAATGTCTCCTTCAAGAGCAATCACCCTCTTAATGATCTTCTGTCCTGGGTTTTTAGGGGACCTAGAATAAAAAGATATGGTTATACCATCAGTTAGGTTTCTGTTATTTTAAGAAAATGAAAAGAAATTTGACAACAAAATAGGCTATATTAAAATCATTACAGAATTCTTTGCACCCCTGACATATCAATCCTACTTATGTTCAAGTGATATGACGTTACTATTGAAGTATTTCTCAATTTAAATCTCTGGGAAAAAAGAAGCAATGTTGAAACTTTACAAAAAATAAAAAATACAGAGGGGTAAAGAATTATATCATTCCAGCATCTGGAAGGAAGCTCCCCCGCTGCCATCCCAAGCTCCTAGGGCAGAGAAGCTGAGCCGGTCCAAGCACCCAGAAGAAAGCTCTCCTGCTTCCTTCTCAAGCTCCTAGGGCAGAGAAGCTGAGCTGGTCCCAGCACCCAGAAGGAAGCTCCCCTGATGCCATCCTAAGCTCCTAGGACAGAGAAAGTAAGCCATGTGGGCACCAGAAGCACCCCCCACCACCACCACAATGGAAATGAGAAGACACATAAACAAACCTCAAAAACAGACTTATGGATCACCTATAGCAACCACAAAGGGAAACGGGATGGAACAATCTGATACTCAACCACCTGGACTCTCTGAACTGGCAACAAAAGAGGATCTGGGAAAAATGAAATCAGAAATAATTACTCAGATAACAGC